ATTCAATTAGGACTGGTCGGCATTTCAGGGGTTTACGTTACGTATGACAAAGAAGAGTTTGGGATAATGATGATAGCCGAAGGAAACAATGAAGTAGAGACAACCCAGCAATTGTTTCAACATTTCTCTGTCGTTTTTCCAGATAAAATCAACTGGAACTGAAATAATGATTCTGGAACCTGATGCTCTCGATAGAGAAGAATGTATTTCATCACGAGCTTCATGATTTCGAAGTTGAAGCAATATATAAAATATTAAAAATATTCCAGAAGCATTACGACTGATGAATATAATCCATTCGAAACACCGGTGTTTCAATGACTATGAATGAAGTTCATTTAGTTGAAATTGATGATTTGAAAAATGGGTAATGACGCAAAAATCTTAAGAAAGAAGGCGTGTATCCACCTTCAATTGAACCAATACCTTTTCTGGCAGTATTTATCTATTGATCTGACATCGGAAATTGAAACTGTATTGGTGAATGAATGTCAAATCATTTAGACTTAGATGAAAGCTGATGAAATTGAAACTATCGACAGTTCTACTAGATAAATCTCTACTGGGATATGAACTAACACTGTGAAAAAAATAGAAAACAAGATTCAACTTAGTGACAGAGAGTTTGTTTCGGATAGAAAAAACAATAAGAAAATTAACAATTGATTTATAACTCAATTTGGAAGACAGTGTATGTGTGTGTGTCATGGCGTTGGTATAACTAATCTGCCAGTTTTTTTAACATGTGAAATTTCAACAATCTGTTTAAAAAAAAAATCTGTTTTTTCGTTAACCAGCTGTCGCACCCCTACGAACGACAACCCTCAGAAGTCGAAACTTCTGCGAGCTAAGGATTAACGAGGTCTTACCTTTTAACGTGTGATTCCTAACACGGGTTGGACGGTAGCAAGTGAAAATCGATCGTTCAGCCTGGGGCTTGAACCACCGACCAACACGGCGGTCAACTCGAATGAGTGAACAAAGCACCCACGTCAAACCGACTGGCTACCGACCGACCGATTGGACGGATTTGCATCCTTTTAACAAATTGCCAAAAACGACTCTCCTCGATAGGAAGACTTAACAAATTGTGTCTGGTCAGGATTCTTGCCCATTCTGGCCTATAAGGCAATGAGGGTGTGGCAAGCAGCTTCATTGGACCAGAACATGTCTGGCATCGCTTTAGGCTTTGCCAAACAAAGATTGAACACCTGGATGGCAAGAATATTTATGGACTTCTAGCAGAATCTTCCACGATTGGCTCACTCAAAGGCGTTTATTCACCCTTCGAAGCTTGACTCCAAACATTTGTTGGACTACAGTAGGGATAAACGACGATGTCTAACAGGCCTTTTTACAGGTCACTGTCATTTGAATCATCATATGCAGAGACTCGGACTGTCGGAAGACAGTGTGTGATGAAACAGCAGAGCACATGCTTTGTGCCCGCCCCGCTGGGGACCGAATCAGGTTTTCACAGTTCGGCAGAGCCGTACTCTTACCATCTGACCTGAAAAACCACTCACCATACAAACTAATCGGCTTCGTTGAGAAGCTGGGTCTGTTTGGTCGTGTGTGGATAGGTATGAGCCACAATAAACCCTTGCGGGTTGCGGTAGAGGGTCACTTTGGACCTAACCTACATTCGTTTGGAACGTGACGAACGCGGCTTATGAGCTAGCTGGTATTTCTGTTAGTTTTATTCTACCATATATAGAGTATAAGTTATCAACATGCTTTTTTCATCTCCAACACATTTCAGAATCCAGAAGAGCAATTTGGATTTTCAGCTAACCCTTTTTGAATTTATGATCTGGAGCATGCCAATTCATCATTCTGTAAATTGATTGAAGTTTATATTAATTTCACATCTGTACCAGGGATACCTTTGCGGTATTTCTTTACGGAACAAAGTGAGAATGACAGTAATGATTTCGGGAAACAAGATTCAGAAAACATGAAATTTATAATATTGTGTTTGTTCTGATGATACATTTCTATTCTATAGAAGTTTTTATTCATATTTCATTTCAAGGACAACACAAGCACCACAGAAAAATCCGGTCTCAGAGCGGTGCCTCTGCGAACGTAGCGATTCACATCGGATTTGAATCGCTGGAGATCCAATTTTTTGGAAAAACGTTCTTAGGAAGTTTATTCCACACGAACAAAGTTCTCCAGATGAAAGAGTTTTCAAACAGTAAAGTTCGATGTGTACTGAGTTGAACCTCATAACGGTAGGCAGCCACAGTCCGTCGCGTATTTCTGATATGTACCGCTCTTGGTGGAATCAAATGTGCTTAGCCACTTGAACACTTCCCGTGAAACTATCTATTGAAGAGAGACAAATCTCCTCCGATGTTCCAGGCTATCAAAGTTGCATATGATGTTCGCGTCTCCAATTAGGTGGATGGCTCTTTTCTGGATTGAATCCAGGGTATGGATTCGGAACAGCGTTCCAAGCATTTGAGAAGCAGCCTTTGCAATTCCAGCGGCATGATTGTGCCAAGACATATTGGTGTTTATTTCAACCTCCAACAAACTTATCAAAGCAGAAAGCGGAATTGTCCAACCTGACATTATTATATCCGTTTCGGAGATATTTATCTTCTTGCAGACAACCGATTCCCTGGTTTTTGTGGCATTGAATTGAACCTAGTTACTCTCACCTCAATTCGAAATTACTCCCAGATCCTCATTAAGATTTGCAATCTCCTGCTTCCGGTGAAGATGTGCCTCCGTAGCCAATGTCCTCAATGGGGAATGTTCCTCAATGGGGAATGTTCCTCAATTTGGGTTATTATAGCAAATGCAAGTTTGAACAAAATAGAGTTGAGTTTAATTCATGAGATTTTCAAATTCACATCGAAAAGTATTCAAATTGTTGTTTCAAATGTTGGTTTTTAATTTTTGAAGGGATTTGTTTCGAATTCACATATTGGCCACAGCGCCTATATCATGTTGAAATAATATATACGTACCTAGACATTCTACTTTGAAAGAGGGAAATTATTTTTATAAATCAACAATCAAGACCAAATATAAATTATAGTTCAATAACACCTCCACGAACCACATAAACAACAGTTGTTTTGTTATTTATTCATATAGAGGAAGATAGGTTAGGTGTACAAAATGTCATATGTCACAGAATGTCTTGGAACTCGGACCATAAGTAAACAGAACAGCACGCCTCTGAAATATGTCATCTTTGTTTGTCTCATTCAGGTGGAATAGAAACGAATCCCTTCAAATGTTGAATGCATTATTTCATTCAAATAAAACCGGACCGACAACAAATCGAACTATAACATTGCTCAAGATGTCGCGGTGTCATTTGTAGAGAAGAATAACGGCAGTTATATATCTCTATGTGTCTCTGCATTATTTCATTCAAATATTTTTTTAAAGAAAAAGGTTTAAATGATAAGTTCAAAATGCGTTGTTTTAGAGCTCTTTTATGAAAACTACTTGATTTTCGTCGGGCGGAACATTCTCCATTCAACAGGCTATTTTGATCAAAATTGTGATTCAATTTTAAAGATAATCTACTTCATTTTCTATATGATTTTTGTTGGTTACATAAAAGAGCGCTTTCAGCTCAAATTTCTTAGTCAGGAATTGACTAGTTTTGATAATTGAGACCAAAATATTCAAGACTCGTGATTTTATGAATTCCCTCTCGACATTTCTTTAATTTGAATGTCAAAGATTGACAAAAGATGAAGAAAGAAATAAAATCCACCTCCTCCAGCATCCACATCACATTGCAATACTAAGTAAAATTGGCAATGTACGCATGTTTCAACACACTTGATGCCTCATTAATAAAGTGATGTCTTCGAATTACAGTGGGTATTTACGATTCATCATGAAAGAAAGATAACCTCTTTAACCCCAATGCAACACAAGTTATAACATCCGGCAATAATCATGAACGACAAGGGTGTGTTTCGCGCACAAATTTAAGTAGTGCCCATATGTAATAATGTACTTAGTATAAATGAATAAATTTTTGTGAACCAGTTAATAACATTCACGGTTTCAACAACAGAAATAATTCTCGAAAATGATTATCGATCAAACAGACCCTAAGCTTAAACTTATTCAAATCCAACGTGAATCGTTACTTTCGCACAGGCACCGCTCTCAAAGCGCCTTACTTTTTTTGTAGTGCTTGTGTTTTGTCATTCATTATAATTTTTTCCCTGGAATTTTTAGCAAAAAAACTGGTTTTCAACTTCAATATTTTCAATATTTCTGATGTTGATTCACTCAAATTTTTTCAGAGCTCTTAAATATATGACAACGAATTCATTCTCTCACAATGAAGGTTCCAAAAATTATCAAGCAAACCATTGAAATTGCATTGTTAAAAATAATTACCTATTTAGAAAAGTGACACTGTACCTGAATGTTTCAGACAATACACCTGAGTAGTTATTTTCAGTACAAACGTTTCTCATGTTTCACCATGAGAGAATTTAAAGAGATTCATAAATATTTTTTCATTTGTTTTTTCTGTGGATGAATTCAATTCCACTCATTTCCACTTGAAGTTTCACACTTTTGATATATGCAAAATTATAATCGTTTATTTCGAATTGGTATTTTTTGAAAGAGAGATTGATATATTTTTCATCAAATTTATGTTTCAGATCGAAAAACTGACATCAATTATGAGAATCCAGATCAAAATAGATGACAAAATGTTGAACCGAAAATACTCATTTCATCAGTTCGGACCATTATCTAATATAATATAAATTGATTTGAAATCCCTGAAAAAAATAAAAAGATCAACCGAAAATAACAATTTTATTAAAACAAAAAACTGAAATTACAAGAAAATAACATACAAGCTACAACTAGGAAATGAATAATTGAAATAATAATAAAAGCTGAAAATTAAAAAATATTATTCACAAAACAAAATTTTATTCAAATATTTTGAAATCGGAATTTCGATTAATGGTATGAAATAAAATAACCAAACGCACCTTGTACAATCAGCGCGATAACATACACCAAAAACTTCACTTCCATGTTGTCGGAAATTCCTTACTCTTAATCACAAATCAACTCCAGAATCCACACCAGCTGGCACTCAATCAAATTGGCAATGTACACAACACAAGTATTTTAAAACACATAGTCCATCAATATTAACGAAATGTATTCAAATTGCGGTATTTAAGATTTATCGCGGAAGAAAGATAACCTCTCCGATCCCAATGCAACTCATATATCAACTCTGGCAGGAATCAAGCACGCTGCGCTTTCGAAAATTATGAAAAACAATCGTCGTCTACGAATGCGTGTTTCGCGCACAAATTTGAATAGCGGCCGTCTTCAGCGTCACGACGGATGAAAACGCACTGGCGTCGCCAACTTAGAACTCCCACTAGAACGGATTCGATCGAAGTCGGGCTAAGTCGAGGCCGATCGTGACTCTGCACCCTACTGCATACTTTGCAATTAATACATTATGATCAAACTACTTAATTAGGGTATGTTGGAGTAGGTTCAGTGACTCATCTAGCGGAGTTTTTAGGAAAAAACGTCTGCCAGCTGCCTTTCAATAATTGGATTAAAGGTTTCCGAAGCCGCGTAAATGTTTTAATAGGGGGCTTGATAGATTTCACGGTCTTCATATGTTATTGATGTTTTTATGGTGGTCTGTGTTATATTTACTGGTGCCCTAATGATATTTATATATAGACGGGTGCCGTTTTCGAATGTTTCCTAAAGGGGTACCTACATCATTTATAATAGTTCATACACCGATGAAAAATTACCTTGTTTCAGGTGGACAGTTTGTTTTTGAGGAGTAGAGTGGTTTTATTTTTGTCGGTACCTTTTTTTTGTTATTTATTTGTGATACAATACTCTACAGGACATCGCCCAATTACAAAACAGGAAATAACAGAGTTTAATAAATACATCACAAGTGACTAATAAAGACTACATATTTTATATTTATAATAGGTGACAAAACAATTATATTAGGAAGTGGGATTTTATATCTGACAATTTGCAACTAAATATAGAAAGTACTCGGGTGTCTGAAACATATTCTAGGAATGCAAATATTAAATTTTTCCAGTAATGTTGGGCAGCCCACTTAGCCTTTGATAATTTTATAGGTTAGTACAACACTATAATATTCACGTCTTTTTTCGAGACTGAAAAATTTATGCTTTTGTAGCAATTCAGAGTGGGTTGTTCCTATTGGAGGATAAATGTCATCAGTTTTTAGGCTAAGCAGTTTTAATAATCGTCGTTGAATTGCTTCTATCCTATCTATATGATATTGATTAAAGGGGCTCCACACAACAGACGCATATTCTAACTTTGATCTTATGAAAGCATAGAATAGAGTTCATAAGGTCGAAGTTTCTTTGAAATCACTGCTGTAACGTACAATTATTCCGTATAAACGACAGGAGGAGGTTACAACATTATCGATATGCCTATTAAATGATAGTGCAGTGTCAAATGTGACGCCAAGATCAGTAAATGTTTCCGGTCTCACCAGGGAAACGTTTTCTATTGAATAATCAATGATCAAGATGTTCGTTTTTGAACTGAAGGACATGGCCTTACATTTATCCCGATTTAGCGACAAGTTATTTCGATAACACCATTCTACAACTCGTCCTACGTTTGCTGAGAGGTTCACACAATCATACATGTTCTCAACGAGGCAGTATAGTTTTAGGTCATCACCATAAAAAAGGAAATATACATCTATAACATCTGCAATGTCATTAATGAAGATATTGAAGAGCAACGGTCCCAGATTTGACCCTTGTGGAACACCGAATAATAATAAAACTCAATGAAATACACTGAACACAGAAAAATTATTTTTGTATAATTCAATTATCATTTGGGAGTAGTTGCATATTCTCTGCCTAACTTTCAAATACGTCACCTAATTTATTCAACAAATTGATTTGAGTTAACTAGTTCAGTGATCCAATAATTTTTCTGAAAAAACTTTGGTTGTGTAACAGAGTCAATATTTTATTTAAAAAACAAATTTTTTTCCAACGTTTCGAATTCAGTAAGTTTTAGTTTTCATCCAAAACTAAAATTTACTCTAGAATGGAAGACAACAATTCGTTAGCATTTTTAGATACTGAAATAATCAAAGATGCAAACCGAATTTAAGGTATCTGGTATCATAAACCAACTTTTCTGAGAGATTTCTAAATTATTTTTCGGAACATAATTTTCAGAGTGAAATTAACATTATTAGGAATTTGAAAACAAGAGAAATTGCCATTTCTTAATTCCATAACAAAAATCTCCAATTAATTGAGAATTACCTATTGAACAATAATTTTCCTAGAGCCCTTATTAAAAAAATAATTAAAGAAAGAAGTTTCTCCTCCCAAAATACAGGGGTGAAACCCAAATATCACAAAATTCCATTTGCAGAAAATGTATTTGATGAACTTGGAATGCTACTCAATACCGAATAAATTAAAGTGGCCTTTTCAAATGAAAATACAGTTGGAAAGCATGTTTTCCCAAAACAAAAAACAAAAGCACCACAAGACATACAATCCAATATAGTGTACAAAGTGGACTGTGAGAGCTGTCACAAATGCTATGTTGGTCAAACCAGACGGTATCTCAAAAAACGAGTTTCAGAACACATGAGTGACTCCAAGAAACTCAACACAGCTCTCGTTGAACATGAAAAAAAATATGGACACCCAAACATACCCTGAAGTTGCTGGATTCCATCCAGAAAGAGCCATCCACTTGATTGGAAAGGCGAACATCACTTGCAACCTCTATAGTCAGGAGTATCGAAGGAAGGTTGGAGATTTATCTCTCTTCTATAGATACTTTCACGGAAATCCTATAATAGTGCTCGAGTTCAGCCCTTAAAAAATGGCAAAACCCGGAAATTAACCAAATCATTGACGCCCGTCGTAGAAACCTAAATTCCTAAACTCATAAGTAATACTGAATTAGGACCGTTGCAATACACATAACGAATTGAAGGTGAAATTGAGTGAATTCGAAAAATGATGGGTATTCTGCATCGCAAACCTGAATCACATCCAACAGTAAAACTGCAAATAATAAAAATTTAATCTATGAACACCAGAGCTTACCTCCTGTGACATGAAAGGTCAGATCAGATGATCAATTTATATTTGTCTGATTGCATCTATTCATTCATAACCCCAAAAATATCCTGTGTTATATTTATTTCAAATTAATAATTCATCACTTCAACAGACTTGATATGCCTAATGAGATAAGAAACATTCTTAAATTACTCATATCTGTAACCAGAAAAATATTTTCGTTATCGCTCAATATCCTCGGTATCTTGGAAAAACTGAGATCGATTGGTTGAAGAGGCTTTGAAATTTTAATAATAGTGTCGACGGATATCCTTATGACACACGTCTTTCTCCACGAATATGAGCATCCCGAAGATTGAAGTTGTTACAGTATCTGACCTGCTTCACAGAATGGATATTTATAGCGCATTTTTCAATCTCCTCAATACCTACGTGACCCGGTTTGACATGAAGACAGCCTCTCGTAATGGTGAATCATATAGTAGAAATCTATTTCCCAATTTCTCACAATCGGGCAGTGGAAGATAAAGCGACAGACACTATATTCATATAAAATATCCTGTAGAATTGTATGAGGACAATATTCCAAAGTATTACTGTCATACAAGTCTCCGGGTGGAGTAGTGGAAAACAATTGTTGAAATGTTTTCACCAGAAAATAACATTAGGAGATTTGTGAATTATACAAATAACATCAAAACTCAACAGTAAAAAAGAACTTTGATGAGAAGAAAGGAACACAAATCATGAAATTATGGAACAACAAAAATTGATTGGCACTCCAGGGCATCACCATTGAATCCAGTGGCTCATTTGCTTTTTCAGCTGCAGGATAAACCGGAAAAACCTGCAACACTACATCATCTGAAGATCTTGATGTGCCAATGTCCTCTCCTTCGTAAAACAAAATGTAAGGTATCTCCAGAGGTTCCAATAAATTCAAGATATCGCCAGAATATTTAGTGACACTACTATCGTCAAATTTAAACCAGTCTGTTTCGTCTTTGACCAATGCATGATAATGGCCAGATTCAACGCCAGAAACACAGTGAACAATGACTGCATGAAGATTATAATAGTTGTCTGCTAGATTGAAGTGTTCATCTATTTCGAATCTCCGTAAGTTTGGTGCTTCCGTCATGAATCATGTTTGAAAATCACCTGTGTTATTATTGACTTGACTGGTGACTCAGCTATACTTGTTTACTTATAATAGTCAGTCAGTTTGGCGCATGTTTGGCGATACAATTGATCATCATCCGTTGAAAGTTCCATTTTCAGATGGTTCAACAATAAGCTCTGTAGAGACTGGTGATCAGTTATATTAGGAAACGTTAGTTGAAGTTCCGGAAAATCAAATTCGGTATTGCTACCTCTTGAAAATTTACTATAAAGTAAACGGGTGAGGATCTTTCCAGCAAAAGATCTACAAACATAAGACAAAATTGACTGTACGGAACCATTCAGAGCGGTCAGGAGTATCGATTCTGCTATAGTATTGCTCACGAAGAGTGTTCAACAGGAACCCCAAGGATTCGGATTGTCCTAATGAGTATCTAGTAGATTTCAAATACTCCTGGAAATCGCTTGGTGGAAGAGATGATACATTCTTATGAAACTGCAACTAAGTTCATCGTTGAAACTTCGTTTTTGACATTCTTCGTCATGAACAATACTTCATTCAAATTCATCAAAATGCTATATCCATGTAGCAAGTGTTTCTTGAATCATCCAATCCAATTTTCTTCGCAAGATTGTCAGAACAACTGTCTACTGATTTGAAAGGAATAACATGTTTTACAGAATCTGTATCAGAACCATTTCTCAAGCTGCAATCGATCCTTCCAAGTGATGAAGGGTTTCGTAGAGGGATCGATTCGACTCTTGCTTCATGAAGCTCTTCCACTGAAAAGTAACCATATTTGAGCTCATATTTGAGGGGCGAGAATGACCTGAGTCCATTGACCGCACTGAAAAAGAAGAAGATGAATTAATAACTTGCGAACTAACCTTGATAGGAGGCTGATGAATATACACATGTATCGGCTTGTTTCGAAGAGATTTCAGTTCCGTACTGGAATGAGGGCAATGCATGATCTCATCAGAATTATGTAGGGAAGAAATAGTTCTTAGAACCGAAGCAGCATTGCCACGTTGAATAGCAATACTAATTCCCTTCATCAAAAAACAAGTAGAACGTTAATCTTTCATTGCTTGGCATATTCTTCATCCGAGTAAAATATTAAC